ACTTTGGCTCTGAGACCCTCATCTGATAGGTGGTCACCTTCAGATCTGGCAAATGATGCCACTCTGCGCTTAGTCTCTGGCGTCTCCCCCAAGAAGAAAAGGGGTCATTCACTCCCCTCTGGCCAGGAAGAGATCTCATAAAATGAGCCAGAACCATTCCAGGGCTCAATGAGATTCCTCCTCCTCTTCCAGGAGGAGTGCTGACCAGCACTGCACTCCCTCTGGCATGTGGGATGGAGCAGGTCCATTCACCTGCTCCTCGGTACCATGTGGTGAGCAGCAAGGCCCTGTACTGTTGACTCGGTTCTGGCCATGGGACATCCATTGAGTCTGGTACCAATGAAGTTGGCACCAGTACTGATGGTCTCCATACTGATGGCATATGAGCTGGCATTGGACCTGCTTTGCCTCTCCATCCTGGACTCTCCGCTAGTTCATGAGTTCTCCAGTGCTATGGCGTCTACCAGCTCATCCTCCATTGTGCCCCTGGCACCCTCTAGCTATGTGTCAGAGATGCTGGGTACGCTGACCCTGCAGCTCCTACCACCTGAGCCGTGGACTGTGGATTTGAGGTTGGGACTGGCACAGAAGGCCTCCTTGAAGTTGGTGCATCCTTCAGCACCATCATTGTCTTGGCAGCAGATCCCATCATTAAGTGCAGTGCCTTAATCAGTGCTGATGCCTCTGCCAGTACCAAGTGTGAGCATGTCCCATTCGGTGCCACTGGTGCTGATTCCCCACCCCTCTTTGGCACTGATGCTCCCTCCCGACTGGGCTTCAAATGAGTCTGAGTGGTTGTTTGCCCCATCGGGGCTGGCTCTCCTTTGTTGCCACAGAACCTCCGGGATTCCTCAAGGTCAGGGTTGTCCTCGTCGGATACACACCAGAGCTCACCCTTGGATCATTATTCACACTGAGATCAGCATCTGCTCCACAGTTGGCACAGTGGTTCTTGGCCCAATGCCTGCTGGCCACCAATGCCTTATGCATTTGTCCAGTGGCTTCCTTGGAAGCTCTGGGATGTGCCTCAGTTCCTGAAGTCACTCTCAAGAGCGTGATCACTGGTCGCGACAGTAACTCCTGCTCCCATATCGTCTCAGCTGCAATTGACAGCTGAGTCCATTCCCCTGGGACCTATATAGCTCTTCCAACCAGATCCTGTGATGCAAGAATAGAATCCATCATTGGAACAGCAAACTGCCTCCTCGTCCTCCCCGGATGAATCTATTGTGCTGGAATCTTCCTCTTCCTCAGTGCCCAAGGACTTAGTTTAAGGCATACCAGGGACTCCCAAGGTAGTGGCTATACACCTCAGGTATCCAGGCAGAAGTCCTGCTGGAGAGCACACATAAGGTGCTGGGTATTCTCCAACCATCAGCTCCAGGGAGAGTAGCCTTCCTGCTAAATGAGGCTCTCAAGGAGCCTGCAAAGGCCCTCTGGAAGACCCCACCTTCCATTGGTCGCCTATGGCGAAGAGATCAGAGAAAAAGTACCTCATTCCAACGCAAGGGTGTGAGGGTTTCTACTCCCACCTGGCCCTTACCTCCCTGCTGGTGACTGCAGCAAATACCAGCAGGGCAGATATAAATCAAATGAACATCATGATCCAGCAGGCTTTGGTCTCTAAATAGGACTTGGACAATTGGGCAGCCATATCTAAGCTCGCAGACAGCTTGCTAGAACCCTCCAGGGAAAAGCTTTTTTGGCATTTGTTGAGGAAGGGCACATGGTTGCCAAGACATTATTGCAGCAGCCAGAATTATGGCATCAGCTGTCACCATGAGGAGGGCCTTACAGCTGCAGAATTATGGCACTGCGCCCAATGTGCGGCAGACTATTGAGGTATCCCGAGATACTTTGCATGCTTTGGGAGTATATATTCCGGCTGTTAAGAGACGCCACTATAACAGTCAGTGGCTGCAACAGCAATACAGCTCTCAGCGTTTTTTTGGACTATCGTCCCTTCCTGTGCAGCAGCAGGACAATGCCATAAAGAGCCACAGATCCCAAAAGAGAAAGTCCTGTGGTTCAGGGTTTAACCAGCTGGACCTCTCACTTCTGGTGCCTAGCGAGCACCCATTTTGATTTGTGTGTCCAGGACAGCTGTCCAGTGGGAATCTCCCCCCCATCTCCCCTGTTCGGGGACAGGTTGGACAGGTTCGGGGACAGGTTTACAGTGTTTGGAACTCTGTCACAACAGACATCTACATCCTAGGCACCTTCAGGTCAGGTTATGCCAGTGGTTCTCAAATTTTTGCATTGGTGACCCCTTTCACACAGCAAGCCTCTGAGTATGACCCCCCTTATACATTAAAAACACATTTTTATATCTAACTCTATTATAAATGTTGGAGGAGAAGCGGGGTTTAGGGGTGGAGGGTGACCTCGTGACACCCTACATAATAACCTTGTGACCCCCTCAGGGGTCATGACCCCATTTAAGAACCCCTGGGTTATGCCGTACAGTTCCTCTCCATCCCTTCTTCCCACCCACTACCACATCCCCTTTCAGGGACTCCCTCATGAGACACTGCTCCTTGAGCAGGTTCACTTTTTACTGGCTTTGGGAGCCATACAGGAGGTCCCCCTGTAACATCAGGGGCAGGGATTCTACTCCTGGTATTTCCTGGTCCCAAAGCCCAAGGGAGGGATGAGACTTATCCTCAATCTCCTGTTCGGCCAAATGGAAGCAATTCTCGGTATGATCATTAGCCTGTGGAGTTCAACCGATGCTACCTTGTGTCCAGGACAATTTGGAGTACCTGTTACACCTTCAGCCTTCTGGTCTTGCATTTAGTTAATTGGGACTCCACCTGGCTGCAATTCCAGCATTTCATCTGCCCATCAATGGGAAGTCCGTGTTTTCAAACCCCATGCAGTGAGGTGCTTGAAAGGAGTCACTCATCTCCACCCACCAGTTAAAGCGCAGTTTCCTTTGTGGGACTTAATACTCTTAGTAGCTCTTACGGGACCTCCGTTTGAGCCTCTTGACACTTCTTCCTTCCCTCTTCTGTGTCAGAAATCTGCCTTCCTTGGGGTGATAAGGAGGGGGAGGGATAGCTCAGTGATTTGAGCATTGGCCTGCTAGACCCAGGGTTTTGAGTTCAATCCTTGAGGGGACCATTTAGGGATCTGGGGCAAAAATTGGGGATTGGCCCTGCTTTGAGCAGGGGGTTGGACCAGATGACCTCCTGAGGTCCCTTCCAACCCTAATAGTCTATGATTCTATGATAACATCTGCAAAGAGTCTGTGAGTTGCAGGATTTGATGGCAGAACCTCCTTATGGGTCATTTTCCAGAAACAAAGTAACCCTGCAGCTAGACCCTAAGTTTTTATCTCAGGTGGTTTCCCAGTTTTACTTGAACCAAGTTAGATATCTACCAGTGTTCTTCCGTAAGCTGCATTGAACCCCAGAGAAGCAGCATCTTCACACACTGGATGTCAGGCGATGTCTAGCTTTTTATCTGGATAGAACGAAACCTTTCTGTTCCTCACCTCATCTGTTTGTTTCACATGTGGACAGCTGAAGAGTCAAGCAGTCTCGTCACAGACCATCTCCAGGTGGATAACTTCCTGTAGCATGACAGGATATGAAGTAGCCCAGGCTATGCCTCCTCAAGAGCTATGAGCTCATTCCACAAGAGCTCAGACAACGTCAACAGAATTTCTAAATGACATCCCTACATTCAACACTTGCAGGGCAGCCACTTGGTCCTCTGTGCATAGTTTTGCAAACCACTATGCCTGCATTCAGATCAGATGCAAACTTCAGGAAGGCAATCCTGCAGTCCTCCTTTAGATAAACTCTTGAGCCCCACCTCCTACGAGCACTGCTTGGGAAGCCCCTCACATGGAATACTCAGCTGCATCTACTTGAAGAAGAAAGAATGGTCATCTACCCATAAATGTTGCTCTTCACGATGCGAGGCAGATGTCTATTCTATTCTGCCCTCCATCTCCTCTGCATCGGAGGCTGTACTCCTGACATGGGGGGGTGAAGGAACTCAAGGGGTCAGGGTGGCGCCGCCCTTCTACAGCCTGGGGAGGGGCTGTGGCCACAGGGGGCGAGTGCTGCCACAACAGGCACTGCTATGCAAAGTTCTTCAGCCCTGGTGGCTGGGGTGCACACCCCTGGACACAGCTCACAGCTCTGCATCACATCTCAAAGAACAACAGTTACAGAGAGGTGACCGGTTGTTTTGTGGAGCCAGAGGGTAGCAGCGGAAAGATGAAGGAACAGATTAGATTTCTTTGGCTAATTTTGCTAGTCCAGGTGCCAAAGCGAATTCCTCACTCCATGCTTGTTCAAAATTCAAATTATGCTCCGGCAATTGCCATTTTATGATTCAGTTTGTTTCAACGAATAGAGGATTAGTGACCATGAGAACCGTGCTTCAAAATTAATACCCCATATAGAGAGCCATGGCCCTTCATGCTGCTATTGATGCTATTATTAACCCAGGCTGTTCCCTATGCATGGGGAAAAATGTATGCTTTCACCTTATCATTCTTCCTTAAGACCTACTCTGCTGCCATGCTTACAAATCACTCCTATCTGGCACTGAGTAGGCAACGTGGGGAGTTCTGCTTTTCTGCTAAACCAGTCTCATTTATGCTTCTCATCCTCCCAGCCTTCCCCACTCCTCTGTTTTGTCCAACTACTGTCCTGTCTGCTCTAAAGTGAGTTTCCAGGGCAAGGATTGTCTTTGTTTATCAATGCAGCACCTAACACCATGGGACCTTGATCGGGGTTCCTAGGCACTACCAAGGAACAAATAATAAAGATCAATGAAGGACCCTGGGGGGAAGATCTAAAAACAGACCTTTGCTGTAAGAATAGAGGAGAGTCTGTGTTTTAGGCAACCAATCCATCTTCCCTTCCATCTCCAACTCCCCCAAAACCCCACAGCAGACAGATTTAGCAGTGCAGGATTTATACCAAAGAGAAGCATCTGGCTTTCAAGAGGATTAACAAGAAAAATATCATTTTGTACTCTACCTGGAAAGGTAAAGGATAGGATGGATATGCAGGAATAGCGGCCGCAGAGGGACAAAAACTGGCATATGTCAGGATCTGCTGGGCTGGATTGTACAAGATCTGAGGAGGAGGGGCAGAACTAAAGGCAATTTGGGACAGAGGTGCCTGCTGAACACAAAAGACAACAACATATTAGCAAAATGCAACCCTAGAGTAGGAAAAAGGAAAACTATTTTGACTACATCAAACTGACAGATTACATCATTTGACAGTGTTTGATTTCTCTATTTTCTTATTTCCCCAGCATAAGAAATACACAACCTATACAAGTTGTTTTTCCCTTCATACTAATAAAAATGTTATTTTCTGCTTTGATTGTACCAGCCATCCAAGAATCTCAAATATTAATACATTAACCTTCACAATACCACTGTACCCTCTAGAGAAGTAAGTTGGGAAACCAAAGAACTTTGAAATTAAAGCCTCCCTCACACACACACACACACACACTTTTACTTTACTCTCTAGAAATAGGGTGTGCTGGGGCTTTTTGGTCTGAAGTTACACAGCTGCATTCTTTTTTGCCTTAAGAAGTGTCCAGCGCTTCCTTGTGCCTAGCTGACGATGCCATGGGCAGGACTCCAGCCCAAGAAGCAACAAGCCTAGAACCCATGAAGAGTGTGGTGGGGGGGCAGCCTTGACCTCTTCCCCTGAAAGCACCCCTACCCCACAATTTTCCACTCCGCCAGGCACATAACATCCCTACTTCTTGCCATCATTAAGCAAGCATGCTGCTGCACTCCCTGCAGTAGCAGAAATTGGACTGATCCTATAAGGCTTTTCCCCTTGTGCTCTTGAGACATGTGGCACATACCCTACCTAGCATTTGCTATTCCAGGCCTGGCCTCCCACCACCTTTGTTCCATCAGGGAAGACACTGTTGCAGCACTCCTTACTCCACAACCCTTTTGTTGTCGACGTACCCCATGGGCCTGATCCAGTGAGTAGCCAGTGTTTTTCTGGAGGTTCTTTTAAGATTAACCCGGCAAATCATCACATCTTGCAAAGGTGACATATGGGTCACGATTCAGCTGCTGCTTTACTAATAGTTTCTGTACATGTAAAACAATCCCCTGAGGCACCCAGTGTCTTATTTGTATTGTTTGGCCACGTAGGCCCCGACCCTGCAGAGCAACTTGAAGGATTGGGGGCTGTTGTGGCAAGCCATGTGAGACAGAGACCATGTCTTCCAGGCTCAGAGCTAGTTAATGAGGAGTAGGGAAGCTTCACAAAATGTAAGTGGAGGCAATCTGGATCCTCCCTAGGAATCATAGAATATCAGGGTTGGAAGGGACCTCAGTAGGTCATCTAGTCCAATCCCCTGCTCAAAGCAGGACCAATCCCCAACTAAATCATCCCAGCCAGTTTTGTCAAGCCTGACCTTAAAAATATCTAAGGAAGGAGATTCCACCATCTCCCTAGGTAACACATTCCAGTGTTTCACCACCCTCCTAGTGAAAAAGTTTTTCCTAATATCCAACCTAAACCTCCCCCACTGCAACTTGAGACCATTACTCCTTGTTCTGTCATCAGCTACCACTGAGAACAGTCTAGATCCATCCTCTTTGGAATCCCCTTTCAGGTAGTTGAAAGCAGCTATCAAATCCCCCCTCATTCTTCTCTTCCGCAGACTAAACAATCCCAGTTCCCTCAGCCTCTCCTCAGAAGTCATGTGTGCCAGTCCCCTAATCATTTTTGTTGCCCTCCGCTGGACTCTTTCCAATTTTTCCACATCCTTCTTGTAGTGTGGGGCCCAAAACTGGACAAAGTACTCCAGATGAGGCCTCACCAATGTCCAATAGAGGGGAACGATCATGTCCCTCGATCTGCTGGCAACGCCCCTACATATACATCCCAAAATGCCATTGGCCTTCTTGGCAACAATGGCACACTGTTGACTCATATCCAGCTTCTCGTCCACTGTAACCCCTAGGTCCTTTTCTGCAGAACTGCTGCAGAGCCATTTGGTCCCTAGTCTGTAGCGGTGCATGGGATTCTTCCGTCCTAAATGCAGGACTCTGCACTTGTCCTTGTTGAACCTCATCAGATTTCTTTTGGCCCAATCCTCTAATTTGTCTAGGTTCCTCTGTATCCTATCCCTACCCTCCACTGTATCTACCTCTCTTCCCAGTTTAGTGTCATCTGCAGACTTGCTGAAGGTGCAATCCACACCATCCTCCAGATCATTAATGAAGATATTGAACAAAACCGGCCTGAGGACCGACCCTTGGGGCACTCAACTTGATACCGGCTGCCAGCTAGACAAGGAGCCATTGATCACTACCCGTTGAGCCCGTCAATAAGCCAACTTTCTATCCACCTTATAGTCCATTCATCCAGCCCATACTTCTTTAACTTGCTGGCAAGAATACTGTGGGAGACCGTGCCAAAAGCTTTGCTAAAGTCAAGGAACAACACGTCCACCGCTTTCCCCTCATCCACAGAGCCAGTTATCTCATCATAGAAGGCAATTAGATTAGTCAGGCATGACTTGCCCTTGGTGAATCCATGCTGACTGTTCCTGATCACTTTCCTCTCCTCTAAGTGCTTCAGAATTGATTCCTTGAGGACTTGCTCCATGATTTTTCCAGGGACTGAGGTGAGGCTGACTGGCCTGTAGTTCCCAAGATCCTCCTTCTTCCCTTTTTTAAAGATGGGCACTACACTAGCCTTTTTCCAGTCATCCGGGACTTCCCCCGATAGCCATGAGTTTTCAAAGATAATGGCCAGTGGCTCTGCAATCACTTCCGCCAACTCCTTTAGCACTCTCTGATGTAACGCATCCAGCCCCATGGACTTGTGCTCGTCCAGCTTTTCTAAATAGTCCCAAACCACTTCTTTCTCCACAGAGGGCTGGTCACCTCCTCCCCGTGCTGTGCTGCCCAGTGCAGTAGTCTGGGGGCTGACCTTGTTCGTGAAGACAGAGGCAAAAAAAGCATTGAGTACATTAGCTTTTTCCACATCCTCTCTCACTAGGTTGCCTCCCTCATTCAGTAAGGGGCCCATACTTTCCTTGACTTTCTTCTTGTCACTAACATACCTGACGAAACCCTTCTTGTTACTCTTAACATCTCTTACTAGCTGCAACTCCAGGTGTGATTTGGCCTTCCTGATTTCACTCCTGCATGCCCGAGCAATATTTTTATACTCTTCCCTGGTCATTTGTCCAATCTTCCACTTCTTGTAAGCTTCTTTTTTGTGTTTAAGATCAGCAAGGATTTCACTGTTGAGCCAAGCTGGTTGCCTGCCATATTTACTCTTCTTTCTACACATCGGGATGGTTTGTCCCTGTAACCTCAATAAGGATTCTTTAAAATACAGCCAACTCTCCTGGACTCCTTTCCCCCTCATGTTATTCTCCCAGGGGATCCTGCCCATCAGTTCCCTGAGGGAGTCAAAGTCTGCTTTTCTGAAGTCCAGGGTCCATATTCTGCTGCTCTCCTTTCTTCCCTGTGTCAGGATCCTGAACTCGACCATTTCATGGTCACTGCCTCCCAGCTTCCCATCCACTTTTGCTTCCCCTACTAATTCTTCCCAGTTTGTGAGCTGCAAGTCAAGAAGAGCTCTGCCCCTAGTTGGTTCCTGCAGCACTTGCACCAGGAAATTGTCCCCTACACTTTCCAAAAACTTCCTGGATTCTCTGTGCACTGCTGTATTGCTCTCACAGCAGGTATCAGGGTGATTGAAGTCTCCCATGAGAACCAGGGCCTGCGATCTAGTAACTTCCGTGAGTTGCCGAAAGAAAGCCTCGTCCACTTCATTCCCCTGGCCCGGTGGTCTATAGCAGATTCCTACCACGACATCACCCTTGTTGCTCACACTTCTAAACTTAATCCAGAGACACTCAGGTTTTTCTGCAGTTTCATACTTGAGCTTCATACTAGGAAAATGTTGAAAAACCAGTTGTAACACTCTGCCATTCAAAAGGTTATAAGGCAACTCTTTTTCCATTGCCACTCCTTTCTCCCATACTCTGTAGCCATTCATGCTGCCCCTTCCTAAAACTCCATTCTGTCCATGAAGCCTAAGTGAGGAAACGTCGGCAGATTCACATCCATGCTAATCTGGGAAGGTGGCAGTTACAGACATTTCCATGCTGATGGGGCTGAGGGCTTCCTTTGGGTTTTGTGTAACACCAAGGACCAGGTCAGCGCTGAACACATAACATGGGACATAATAAGAATGATTTTCTATCAAATGTTGGATTGATACATAATTATACAGAAATAATAAATATACATCAATACAATTATAGTAATAACTTTATTGGGTGTTTCTATGGAAGGGGCTGACTCTGAGCTTATTGCACGGAGGTAGCCATGTCCCTTGGAAATCGCTTTACTGAAATGGAAAGGATTGTCCTCCCGTTGGTTTCAACAGAAAAAACAGTCGACGTAGCCCCGTTCTAGGTAAATTTCAACATGTATCTAAGCTGTAGGGGGTGCTTTTTTCTAATGAACATGAGTTTTATAGACATCTAATACGAACGTGTACATTAAGACAGAACTGCTCCCCCCCTCCCCCCCAGTACTTCTGGCCCAGTCCCTAAATATCTTTGTGGAGCTGGGCCTCCCTCCCTCCATGGCTGGAGAAAGGAAAGTGTGGAACACAGAGACATCCCCTACTCCAGAGAAATAGGGAGAACAAGCTAATGAGAGTAAGGCCTTTCAAGCTGAAGAAATACATGAGTTACTCATGCCAGAATGTGGCTCAGCCCTGAGTCAGAATGAAACATAAAATGCAGACTGAGACTTATCTATCCATTGATATAAACCAAGAGACAGACATGTTTTTTCAACAACAACATGAAACACTGGTATTATATTTGTATCTTTGCAGTTAGCCAATTTCTTTGCTTGTTACATGCTACGTACGTCGGTCCTTCTCACCACAATCTCTGTGAAAACTTTTAAAACCACTGTGCCAGAAACTCATGCACCAGAAGCAACTATGTTCCAGTTTTTGGAAGACAAAATAATATTTTCTTTGCAGGAAAATCTGATGGGCTTCAAAGCAATTGCACTTTGTTTTTCAGCTCATTCTCACACCACTATAGCTATAACTGGTAGCTATAACTCCCAAAAGCTACACGTGATTTTTAGTAGACA